GGGGTTCTGGGGGGTTCTGGAGGGTCCTGGGGGTGCCACCTCCGCAGCAAACGGGGACAGTTTTGTCACCCCCAGGAAGTCCAGACCCCCCACCCACCCTCACCCTCCCCCTCCCCAAATTTCGGGGTGCTGCCCAGTAGATCCTGAGTGGTCCTTGGGTGTTTTGGGGTATCCTGGGAGGTCCTGGGGGATCTTGGGGTGTCCTGGGGGGGTCCTGGGGGTGCCACCTCCAGATCAAACGGGGTCAGTTTTGTCACCCCCAGGAGATCCAGACCCCCTCCCCCCGCCCCCTCCCCAAATTTTGGGGGTGCTGCCCAGGAGAGCCGAGCTGTGGCTTTCATGAGAGTCGCTCTTTTCTCCCGATAAAGGCGGCGTTTCGATTTCCAGAATCCCTCGCGCATGGACCGCAACGTGGAGATGTTCATGACCATCGAGAAATGCCTGGTGCAGGTGAGCACACAGAGACCCCTCCCCACTCCTCAGAGACCCCCTCCCCGCGGGTCAGACCCCTCCCCAAATTGACGGCTGTGCCATCATCCCCCTCCCCAGAATAACTGCCTGGCTCGGCCCAACATCTTCCTGCAGCAGGAGATCGAGCCCAAGCTGCTGGGCAAGCTCAAGGACATCGTCAAGAGGCACCAGGTGGGCGGGGGGCAATGGGGAAGGGGCTCAGTCCTGGTTTTTAACCCTTTGTGGGTGGCACCATGCCCTGGTGACCCCTCCCCAATTCAGTCACAGGGTGGGGGGCACAGGGGGCTCATTCCTGGTTTTTAACCCCCGTTTTTGGGGGACACAGGGGGCATGGGGAGGGGGCGCAACCTGATTTTTAACCCCAGACCCCTCCCCAATTCAATCACAGGTTTTGGGGCATGGGGGGCATGGGGAGTGGGCTCATTCCTGGATTTTAACCCCCACTTTATGGTGGGCACAGGGGGGTTATTCTGGTTTTTAACCCCAGACCCCTCCCCCAATTCAGTCACAGGGTGGGGGGCACCATGCCCTGGTGACCCCTCCCCAATTCGGTCAGAATGGGGGGCACCGTGCCCTGGTGACCCCTCCCCAATTCAGTCAGAATGGGGGGCTCCATGCCCTGCTGACCCCTCCCCAATTCCCCCCAGGGCACCGTGACCGAGGACAAGAGCAACGCGTCGCACATCGTGTGCCCCGTGCCCG